GAATGGCCCCGTCCTCATATGCTAGGAGTAAGGAGAACTTTGCACAGCCAACATTGCTGGACTTCCCTGTATCACCCGACCTGGTGACTACTAGATCAGTGGGTACCAACCTTTTCTCAGTATCAAGGCACACCTCAATAAAACAAACAATTCTGTAACACTTTTTTTCTGAGCTGAATTTATTGCTCCAAAATGTCATGCTTACTGCGCCAGTGTAGGAATGGAGACTCTGAATAAGCGGTAAGGCTCCCGTGTACTTCTCAGTCCCTGTCCACTATCCATTCAAGCCTCATTCCGTGTTTCTCTCAATAGTGTCCACCTTGCAGTGGTTGCCATGCACCCAATCACATAGAGGAAGCCCAGTCGCTGGTAGCGGCAGCTGACCCTGACCATGCAGAGCATGAATGAGGTGGCAAGTCAAATCCCTCTTCCCCTGGATCCGGTTGCAACAAAGAGTTGTTCTGTGCACAGCAACTCCCAAACTCAATTCTTGGCGCTGCTTTGCCAACGACCTGACGAATAGCAGCTGCGAGTGATCCTACTTGTTCAGACCAGAAAGCAGCAAAAGCCAGAGATAGGAGTAAATTACTACAGATGCTGGAATATGTCCTGAAAATAAGAAAACAAGAAAACCTGGAGATCACAGTTGGCCAGGCAACATCCATAGAGAGAAAGTGAGCTAACGTTTCGAGTCTCGATGGCTGTTCATTAGAACTGACGTGAAGTTCACATCAGCTCTGATGAAGAGTCATCTAGACTCGGTTAGCTTGCTTTCTCTCAAAAGCCAAAGATGACAGTGCTTTGCACAAATCAGATGATGGGAACTATTTGGCCCGCTCCTGGAATAGCTGCAGTTGGTGTCAGCTAAGATTGCCTTCAATAATACAGAACAAAGCTCCAGAAGAGATCAGAAGTTTGGACACAGCCTCAATATACAGGTCTGCTGCTTCCCAAAAATTTTAGATCATCATAGGTCATAGAATCCCTTCAGTGTGGAAACAGGTCCTTTGGCCCAACCCAGACCCACCCCCCTACTCTACACATCCCTGAACACTACAGGCAATTTAGCATGGCCTGCACATCTTTGGATTGTGGGAGGAAACCAGAATACCCAGAGGAAACCCACGCAGACACGGGGAGAATGTGCAAACTCCACACAGACAGTTGCCCAAGGGTGAAATCGAACCCAGGTCCCTGGTGCTGTGAGGCAGCAGTGCTAACCACTGAGCCACTGTGCCGCCCTGCACTGTGCTTCATCTTATCACAACACACCAGCGTACCACAGCACACTGGTCGAAAATCACTGGATTAGATCAATGTTGGAAGGAGGCCTGTATGGTTTTAATCTTCAGCCTTTTTGTCACCGTTTTGATATATATAATGGTTTGCTAGACATTTTGGAGAGCATTTCAGAGTCAACCATATTGCTGTAGTCTGATGTTGCATATGGGCCGGATTGGTTATGGACCGGTTTTCTTCCCCGAATGATGATGATGTAGCAGAGGGCTTTTATGAAGATCTGATTAGTTTTATAAAACGACCTCCATGACAGATATTGGCTGTTGAATCCCAGATTTTTTTTTTTTGAAATTGTACAGTTACTGGTGGGAATTGAACTTTTTCTGTCCAGTCTTTTTAGCTTCTGCCTCTGTATTATTCGTGCAGTAACATGATCACTGTGCTGGCTTTTCATGGTTGAGATATAACCTTCAAAGCTTATTTTCATTTGATTCCTGTGGGTTTTTAAAATTACAGTTTTTCTATGTCGATGATGTAATATCCTTGGAAGAACCTTGTCATACAAAGAGTTAAGAAGCTGAGGCATTTTATAATAACTTGGCATTCAACCATATTACACCCACCAATTCATAGTAAAGTAGTGTATTTATTTTGATAAACATTTTTATGTCATGGCAACCATAACTATATGGAAATACTTGCACTATACTTGCAGTGATCATTGAAGTCGATGAGTGTTTTGTGTCTGATTAATGTCCTTTTTTATAAATTTAATTAAATAGAATATGTTGTTGTAAAAAGACACCAACTAAGTTCCTTGAATTTTTAATAGATGGTCTTCAAGAATGCTGCTGTGTATATTTTCATGCCCTAAAAATGGTTTAAGTTAAATATCCTTCCACAATTTCATCTTGTAATATTCAAAGCTGGTATTATACTTAACAAGCCCTAACTTGTTCAGATTACATTTTTCATCTGGTTCTTCTGGTTTTTGTGTTGAAGATCCTAGTTTCCCTGTTAAAATTCTCTTAATTGGTTCTCAGCGGTTGTGTATTTCTACATGTACACTGGTTAACTTGATAATGAGTTTTATTTAGCTTTTAACTTGGAATGAGATTCTTCATGGGTTATTTTTAAAATTTCAACAGCATACTTTATTCATAAAAAACTTATCTTTGTGTGTATATATATATATACATAGTTACCAATGCAGTTCCGTTCTGAACAGTAGCATATAAAGAAGCAAGCAAATATTTGACTATCCAAATGTACCTAAGACCTCTGTTCCATATGTAATACTACATTTGCATGCATTTGAGGCTCTAGGAGGGTCTGATTGGTTCCATAGGTCACATTAAGGAACCAATTGTGTAAAAGGCTATTAAACCCTCACTTTTCAGTTTAACATTGCTTAGTATTAGGTATGCATTGCCAATTCCAAATGTGCGAATGAAACTCATTACAGAGGTTAGTAGTCTTGTGCCAATTAGGTGTCTGGTAGTGTGGAGTTACCAGCAAAACCTGAGTGATCTTTAGTCATTTTCAGCTTTGTTTCCTGTTTTGATTCCAGTTCACCATTAATTATGCACAAGGTTCAGTATTCAGTCTTTAGAATGGCGGTGAACCTATCAAGATTTGGTGACCATCTCCATTATATCAGTTGCTGAGGTATAAAATAGGTTTATGCATTAAAGATGATAGAATCATCCAGATCCTTTACTATTGGAGGATAAATGATAATTTCTCTCCTAAAATGTGGAATTCTTTGTTGAAATTAGGATCTTATAATATTAGCCTATATTGATTTTGGTCCCTGTACTGTTCAGTCCTAGCTCATGGGTATTGTTCATTTGCCAACAATGTTGATGTAAACTTCCTGGATTTACTAGTTTTCAGGAAGGTTTTCTTGAAGAAAACTGTTTTTATCTCTTCAGGCCAGTTCCAAAAATTAACTTGAATATAATATCTTTCAGTCAAGAGTACATGACCTATGTTTGCAGGCTCAATATTTGAATCTTGATGCAAGACACAAGTCTGGGTAACTTGAATGTAAAATTGGACTGTAACTGGCATCTCTCAATGGAACAGATGCTTTGTAAAAGAGCCAACAGTTTGCATTTGCATAGTACATATCGTAACCTTGGGCTACCTTATTTTAAAATACTTTACAGGCAATGTAATAATTCCAAGCGCAATCACTGTTAGTGTCAGAAGTGTGGCAATCAGTTTGTGCACAAATTCTCAAACAGACATGTGACTGAACAAGCAATCTCTTTTGGTGATGTTGTTTGAGAATAAACCCTTGCAAAGTGGTACTGTGATTTTTGATAGTTAAATAAGCTGTACTGTTGCTATTGGAATCCAATGTTCATTAGCTAATTGATCACTAAAGTCACCGTGGAGCAGATGCTGAGACATGTTTTGCAGTTATGGCAACTGCACAACAGGGATGAATTTTGTGCAGTGAAGAAAGATATTGCAAGTTCCAAAGATCTAGCAGGTAATGGTTAGTGCTGCACTTCTGCTTCTGTATAAACAGAAGCAGAGTTTAAATCAATAACACTGTTGCCTGGATCTTGGGAAGGAGAAGCACTTCACTCCTATTCTTCCGTACGGTACAACCAATTTTCCTGTAACTCAACTGTTATTGAAACACAATATTGTATACAGGGCTGACATTTTGACACAAATTATATTGAAAGCTATTATGCTGTACCATCGCATCACAAAGTACGTCCTAAGCTTGACCCTTGAAAAAGGACACAAAAACAGAAGTGATTTACAAGACTGATTCCATGGTGAGGAACTTAATTAAAATAGAAAGATTAGAAAAGCTGGGTTCTCCTTGGAAAAGAGATGGTCAAGAGATTTTGTATTCAAAATTATGAAGGGTCTGGACAGTGTGTATGTGGAGAATCTGTTCACATTAATAGAATGATCAAGAGTTAGAGGGCACAGATTTTAGGAGACTGACTAAAGATGCAATAGCATCATGATTTTTTTTAATACAGAATATCATTTGGATCTGATTTGCTTCTCCTTGAGTGTGGTGGAGGCAGATTCCTTCATGGTACTCAAAGGGAACTTGATCATTACCTGGACAGGAGGCACTTACAGTGCTACAAAAGCAAGGGACTGACACTTGGTGAATTGTTTTTGCATAGAACTAGCAAGGATGTTACAGATTGAGTGGCCACTTCCTGTGCTGTCTTTGTTCTGTGAAGGTAATGAGTGAGTGCGTTGTGACACATTAAATGTTATGATGTGGATGTAATTATTGTGCTGGTTAGATTGCAGTCATCAATTCGACAAGGTAATTTCCTGGCTACTAATATGAAAACATATGGTCATTAATGATGTGTTTACTGGCTGTGGGAGACCCATGCCAAAGCCATGGGACAGTAACTTGAGCAAAATGTAAGTTGATCCTTGAATTTTAAATATCAGCTGCAAAATAGTGAGTAATCAGAACCTGACAAATGGGTGAAACATTACTTTTAAATTAACTTTCTGATTTACATGAGCCGACTGATGGTTAGCACAATCCAAATGATGAACTACAAGTGAAAATAAGACCACAACTGGCTAAAAATAAGTTCAATTTTTTAAATAGTGTCTTGTGCAGGATAAAATGTATTTTGCTGAACAGCCTGAGATTCTGCATCATTCTTTCTTTTGTGTTAAAGTTGCTGGGATTCTTCTTAAAATTTATATCCAGGTTTAGATTCTTAATTAAATATATAATTTTCTTTTTCTTTCAGTTGGAGGAGAAGACTGAATCATTTTCTCGGGTGAGTAATAAGTAGTTACAGTACTTTAAGTATTCCATTCCATTAATGGCTGAAGGGCAAGTTGAAAGAATAGTTGGCAAAGTTGCATATTCAACACAGAATTGGTGTTTAAGTATTTTGGTTATAGTTGATGGAAGTTTCATGAAGTAGCTGATTCTTCCTAAATATTTTTGAATCTAACCTTTACTCGTGTCAAAGATTCTAGTTGAAGTTATCAGTTTTGGAATAAAAAAACCTGCAAAAACTCAGGTCAGACAGTATTTGTGGAGAGAAATAAATTCATATTTTGTTCGATCACCATTAGTCAGAACTCAGGAGGGACACACCTTGAGGGATAATACATTATCTTTCGACTCTGCACTCAAGAGCCTTATGGATTTAAATGGAGTTCCCTAATATTAGATCATAATCTCTAGCCCATCTGTGACTTTTTTGTTCCTTCCCCTTTTTTAAATTTCATTTTCTTTCTTTCTTGTTTTGTTGAGCTGATCTTTGACTTATTTGTTTCTTTAGACTTTCATGATGTGTTTATACGGTTAATCTGTAGTTTTCACGTCTAATTTCAGTAAAACCCTTGTTTTTTTTCTCATCACCTGCATTGCCACTCTTTTAGCTGTTACATCATGAGGTCTTTTTGTTGCTTTATCACCCCTGACCTTCACTTGATCACAGATCATCTTCTTCTTCTTCTCCTTTGTTCTTTTGTCTGTCTGCCTCTGTGTCTGTGTCTTCCTCACCTGCCACTCAGTTTTGCCAGCCTCATCTGTGTTGGATTTTCAGCAGCTCCCATATTTTTATTTCATATCTGTATTTGACCTGTGAGCCACAATTTCTTTAAGGTAATCATTGAACACGTGGAAATGATTTAGAAAAGTGGGAAATCGGAGCACGAGTATATCACTCAGCCCTTCAAGCCTGCTCTATCACTTAATGCAATCATTGGTTGATTATTGAACTCAGTACCCTGTTCTCGCTTTGTCCCCATACCCTTTGGTCCCTTTGCTCTAAGAACTATATCTAATTCCTTCTTGAAATCATTCAATGTTTTTGGCTTCACCTTCTTTCTGCAGCCAAGAATTCCCCAGACTCACCAATCTCTGAGCCAAGAAATTTCTCCTCATCTCAGTCCTAAATGCCTTGTTCTGTATCCGTAGACTGTGACCCCTGATTCTGGAAATTTATTTTCATTTTCAGCCATCTGAGATCTATAGGTATGACTGTCTTGAATATATTCTGTACAGTACACTTCCTAATGCTTTTACATCTCTAAATTATTGTGTACGGTACTGGATGCAGTCCTACCACTGAAACCCAACCTGTAGTTGAATATCATATATTGCATTCAAATGGACATGTATCTGAGATAAATTTGGGCACCAGAACAAAGGGGACGCTAAGACCAATTTTGTTCATCCCAACTCTGTTCATGAATGCAGCAACACATTGAGTTCTCAACCCTGTGCTTATGGGGAAAACGAACTGTTTAGAACAAAAAGGCAACTTTTGTGCAACAAACATTGAAGGGTCAGCTAAGGAAGCTGAACTGGGCAGACAGTCAGATGAAGAAACCATTACAGTCAGAGTTATACAGCATGAAAACAAACCCTTCGGTCCAACTCGTCCATGCCGACCAGATATCTTAAACTGATCTAGTACCATTTGCCAGCATTTGGTGCATAAACTCTTCCTACTCGTGCACCCACCCTTGGGAAATAGAAATTCCATCTCTGATATTTGAGATATGCGCTTCAGTTCTAGAATTGTCAGCAATACTCTTTTTTTTTTATCTTAACTGTTCCCCTAATATCTTGTAAATTTTGACTAAATCATGCAGATTTCTGTGTGTAATCACTCGTGCTTTAATCCTTGGAGTCAGGTATCATTCTAATAAATTTATGCTCCAGACAAGGCCAGTTGTGCTACCACCAAGGCCAGTACTTTCTTCCTAAGCTGTGATTTTCAGAATTGCTTGATAATGCACTATGGTTTAATCAGTACTTTGTGTAGCTATTGCATAACTCTCAGCAATTTGTATTTTAGACCAGCACTCCATTGGTCTTGCTGATTATTTTCAGTCTCCATCACTTCAATCCACGTACAAATCCCCAAGTCACTTTGGATTTGGACTGTTTCTAGCTTTTTAACCATTTTGTCAGTACTCTGCTGTCTCCATTTTTAGTCCAAAGTAGATGACCTCGCATTTGTCTGTATTGAAATCTGTGTCACAATTTTGCCTGTTCACATTTTTCTATAACGTTATGCTTCTAACTACTGCTTCAAATGATATTTCTTTGTATCGTTAGCAACTTGAATGTACAATGTTCTATCTGATGCATAGTTGAGCCACCAGACCAGATACAAGGAGTATGCTTCTCATCACGAACTGTCAATTAGAGTTCCTACCCATTATTCCTGCTTTGTTGCCACTCAATTTTTTAACCAAGTCAGTAATTTGACTTTGGTTCCCTAAGCTTTATCTTTAGGTAAAAGCCTATTGGGAGGTTTTACTAAATGTTTCCTGGTTATTGATAGCATCCATGGACGTTGCCCTCTCCACTATTTTAGTCATTCGTTGCAAAAATTCACCCCGTATTTGCCAAGGTGAGTTGCCCGTTATGAATGCATGATGGCTCACCCTGATTAGCTAACAATTTCTGGCTATGGGCAATGTCACTGTTAAATGAAATAAAAATGCTATGTGCAGAAATGCAGCATTCAAGTGCAGGACCTCTCTGAAAACAGGCGGAATAACACAAAATGATAGCACCCAAACATCACACTTAATTTATAAGACAGCAGCTTGTAAATCTTGCCAGCACCAACTATGTGCTTGCTCTGATGTGGGTGAATGAGCTGATTTAAGTTCCTGCAATTCATGCAGGAAACAATGAGGAGGAAAGGTTTTTTTTGTGGCTACTAGAGACTGACAGATCTGTTTGCATCTTTATATTTCAATAAGTTAGATTTTGAATCTTTGAAGGTCAGTCCAGATACTTGCTTAACCACAGTTACAAGTGCATCTGCACATGCTCCTTGGCTCATAGCAGCCATTTGTAATGGTGATGTACTGTCCCTTGTGTTAGGATCTAATACTTCAAAGGTTTTAAGTTGTTCAGTCACCTTACACTTGAAGAGAGATTCTCATGATTTCCTGACCAGATTTTACACAATCTGGTCTGTAAAGTCTCTGGTTTCCCTCTGTTATCTTGCTTAAAAAGCAGAACGGTTTCCTTCTCTAAAGGAAAACCAAAAGAACTGTGGATGCTGTAAATCAGGAACAAAAACAAAGTTGCTAGAAAAGCTCAGCAGGTCTGGCAGCATCTGTGAAGAAGAAAATCAGTTAACATTTCAGGTCTGGTTCTGAGGAAGGGTCACTGGACCTGAAACGTTAACTCTGATTTTCTTCTTCACAAATGCTGCCAAACCTGCTGAGCTTTTCCATCACCTTCTGTTCTTGTTCCCTCCCTAAAGGAATTGTTCCCAAATGGACAGAACACAGTAGGATTATCATTAAGGAACATGAAATGTTCTTTCCTTTAAAATCTTATAATGGAAAGCATTTGGTCCTGGAGATTTGTCATCGTTTAATGCAATTATTTTCTTCATTCCAGCTATTTTGTTACCTCAATTTTGGTGTTTTTCTCTGATTCAGTCTTAGTTTCTCATGTGTCCAACATGATAAATTCTTCCTCTCTGAATGGAAAGTTATAGTACAAAATAGCTGCCATTCTGTAATTTTCATTGACAATATTACCATTATCAGTTTTCACAAGACCGCATTACTCCTTTGTTTGTCTCATTGTGTAAAGTTTTGTTGATTTTAATGCTTTGCAAGTTTCCTTTCCTTACTTCCTTTTTATGACTTTGTATGACTATTTTCCAACCAATACTTTTGGCATTATTTTCCCGTACCTGTTGTATTTTTATTTTTTTATACCACTACTTTAACTTTTTGTCTCGCACAATTCTTTCATTTTTCATGACTCCTTTGGCAAACAAAAGCTATTCATTCCCTTACAGCACAAACTGTGAAGTTAATTTTTGAATTTCCAATTGATCAGCATTTTTACCCATTCCCTGATTTTGTTCAGTTTACTGTTACTAATCTCTAGCTCATTGAATTAAAAGTCAGCTATACCGAAATCGGAGCTGTTTTTTGTGTTTCTCCCTTGTTAAGCCACGTTGAACGTGATCATTTTTCTGCACTCTGTAAAGGCTGCTAATTAAATCTGCTTTGTTACTTATTGCTAAATGTAGCATTACATTCTACCTTATTGGTTCAATGCCATATTGTTGCAGAAACGACCCTGAACATACTCAAGAAATTTTTTCATGATGTGCTAGCTCACAGACTACATAACAGCTGCATACTTCTGATTGAAGTGAATGGTGTGGGGTGGAGGGGAGGAGAGAACTTTGAGGTTTGTCAGCGTCAGTGGAGAGAAAGAAAGTTAACTTTTTGAGTTAAATATGACCCTACAGAACTGTTGGGACTTAGCAATGTGAAGGGTTTTATGAAAGACAGGAGGCAGTAGTACAAAAGAGAAGGTCTATGGTAGATCAGAGGGCAGGAATGATTAAATTTAAAAAGTACCATGAATTTGTAGTAAGTGATGAAACAAAGCATGAAAATAACATGCAGGCTGACACTTGAGAGGAAGAATAATCAAAATGGAAAACAGAGTTCAAGGTCTGATGCTGTTGAACCCCATGTTGATTCCATAAGGCTGCAGGTTTTCTCCTCACACTTGCATTGATTTTCCTGAACTTTGTAGCACATAGACGACTATACTGTAAGTATTAAGAGGAAGTTGGTAAATTAAATAGCAGTAGCCAGAAGGTCAACGTCATGCTTGTAGTCTGAGTGAAGGTGTTCTACAGTGGAAATCCTCACTGGACATAAAAAGGTGTGTTACCAGCACCATTGTGAAGAAGCATTGCCAGAAGTGAGGAGATGAAGAAACTGCAAATATAAGCTGGACTTGCAGAAAGTAGGGTGAGAGTAATAGCTGGTGAACTTGTCGGTGAATGTTAGTAGACAGTTTGTCCCCAGAAACAAAGGCAGCAAACTTGAACAAGGCACAACATGTCCAAGATGGACCAAGTGAAGGTGATAGAATAGCAGTTGGAGCCGAATATGGTTTATTTTAATAGATCTAGGTGAGACCAGGAAGTGATACCAGAAAAAGAACTGGGAGCAAAGGTTTAAGTAGGACTGGAACAATGAATATTTGACATATTAGACAAAAGACTGGTATAAGTGGAGCCTATGTGGGTACCCATTAGCAACATCTTCTATCTGGAAAAAGAGGGACAAGTTAAAGGAGAAATTGTTCAATGAGAGCATAACTTCTGCCAGGTAGAGGCGTGTAGTGATGGATGAGTGGACTTTTGTTCAAGGAAGTGTAGAGATGTCTGACCATCCTGCTGGGGAATGGAGTTTTGGTGTTCAAAGAGGTGATGACTAGGGTTTGGGAATTGAAATGGAGGAGGAGCTCCAATATAGAAAACTATGGAATTTACTTAGGGCAAGAAAGGATTTTTTTTTTCCCTGCACTATAATTCTGTGGGTAGTACAGTGCATCAAGGCCAATGGAGAAAGTAGGCAAAGAAACTGGTGATGAAGTTAAAATATAAAATGATTGGCTAATATTATGTTTTTGAAGAAATATCTCTGTTTTCTCTAAGAATTGTCATGGCAGGCTGACTTTTAAAAAAATGACCAAACAATAACAATTTTCCTATATTTGCCATGCTCCCTGAGAAATCTACCAAATACAGGATTCTATTTTGGGCTTAGAACTGCTTAAAGAAATAGACAGAGTACATGAGTAGCAAGTTACAATATCTGACAAACTTCATGACATAGGCACTTGAAGAGCTACCTTCTGACCCCGGTCATATGCTTTCTACTATTTTGAGCAACTTATTTACAGCAGACTTCAGGCTTGGGATTATAATGACGACGCCAGTCTTCAAATAAGGCAGAGATATAATTATCAGCCAGTGAGTCTAAAAATGTGTTACTTTGTGTACTGGAGAACACTAAGGGGGATGGTGAAACATCTAATATCTCTGTTTTAGTAAAAATAAGGTAAAATGGATTTAGGAGCTGATGACCTTCCCTCATAACATGGTGAACTTTCAGGACAGACCTTGTTAGAAGAATTTCTAAGGATTTGTATTTAGATGTCAGCTTGGTTTTTGGTACCCCACAAATTTTAGCCATAACAACATAGATCTACAGCACCGAAAAAGGCCCTTCAGCCTATCGAGTCTGTGCTGGTCAGAAACAAACACCTAAATGTTCCAATCCCATTTTTCAGCATTTGGCCCATAGTCTGTATGTCCTGGCAAGTGCACATCTAAATATTAAATGTTATGGAGGTTTCTGCCTGTACTACCCTTACAGGCAGTGAGTTCCAGATTCCCACCAACCTCAGAGTGAAAAAAAACTTTTCCGCAAATCCCTTCCAAACCTCCTGCCTGTTACCTTGAATCTAGGCCCCCTGGTCAAACATCCCTCATACAGTCATGAAATAAATAAACAAATCACAAATTGCGGGTCTTCTTTGAGGGCTAAGTTTGTTCAAGATACTCAGCACGACTTTAGTGCTGTAAAATCCTTTACATTCAAGAACAAAGTTAACCTAACAAAATTAACACAGAGCATAAGACCTTGAAAGGGACTAAAATGAGATTGACCTTGTTTTCTGAATGGCAGAGGAGGAGATTGTGATGGTAGTGTGGTAACAGTCGAAACCTGTCAACATTATACATTTTTGGTACAGTTTCATCTCTAAGTTCTTTGTTCCAGTGAACATTAATTAATGGTGCATTGATATGACTCTAAAGTAACTTAATACCACATTTTTTGAGGCTTTCATTGGCCTTGCAAACTATATCCACATCCCATGAATAAATAAAATTCAATTTTAAGAGAAATAATCTTTGTGAAATATCACAATAAATGACCAGAGTACATGGAGGTGCACCGCATCATAGTAACATACAGTTGATATTTTTAGCAAAGGTATATGTAATTTGCGTGATGTTTGGAAAATGCTCATGTTTCTCAAAGCAGCTTCATAGGTACCTTTCTTCTAGCATGGTTCTTGACTCATTTCAGTGCGCTTTTCAGGTTAATTGGATAAAGCCTATTTCCAAATGCTTATCTTGCTTTCGCATGATTAAGGGTTTAATTTCATGCTGGTGTGTGCAAGGAACGAGCTGAGTGGCTTTGTGAGTCGCTGTACACATTTTAAAATAGTGCACATAAATAAAATTACAGCTGTTAAGTTTTTGTACAAGCATTTGTTCAGATATATTCTCAATGAATTTTTCTGTTACTTCTAGCTGTCAATGACTGAACTTCTTAGAAATGCAGGATTCTGCATTTTCCTAATTTCATAGGTGGAAAAGCTATTCTGCACTGACCAGCTACTGGCCTCTAGTCAGAATGAAAGAACGTAAAGTCATCGTGATACAGCACGGAAACTGACCCTTTGGTCCAACTTGCTATGCCGAACAAGTTTCCCAAACACGAACCCGTTAGGACCGTTCTCTCCTCTCACCCTCCTTTCCCCCCCCCCCCCCCCCCCCCACCACCACCTTTAAAATTATGCGCTGTAGTTTTGAACTCCCATACCCTGGGGAAAAGACCTTTGCTATTCACCTTATCTATGCCCGACACGATTTTATAAACCTTGATAAGGTCACCTCTCAACCTCCTGTGCTCCAGTGAAAAAGGTGCCAGCTTATCCAGCCTCTCCTTATACTTCAAACCCTGTAGTCTCGGTAATATCCTTGTAAATCTTTTCTGCACCCTCTCCAATTTAATAATAATCTTCCTATAACAGGGTGTCCAGAACTGTACGTAGTACTCCAAAAGTGTCCTCACCAGTGTCCTGTACAACCACAATATAATGCCCAAACTGCTATACTCAATGATCAGAGTAATGAAGGCAAGTGTGCTAAACATCACCTTTACCCATGGTTTTATTCCAAAGATGTACAGTCTGTAAAAACACAAGACAACTCTGAGAAAGGGCTGATGACTCACCAATGCAACTCACTACTCACTTCCTAAAGGAACACTATCCATCATAACTTTCAACAACTTTAATGTACAGCAAAAACCCCTGTTAAAAGTTGACAATTTCATGAGGGCTATTTTTTTAAACTAATTTTCTGGATGTCTCTGTCAAGGTGCTTCTTTATTGAAGAGTGATTAAGTAGTGGCAGGGTGAGTGGGATAATTTCAGAGGAAATGATAGAATCCACAATTCCTCAATAATTATAATCAATACTGAATGTGACTATCTTCTCTCTCAGTATACAATTTTGCTCAAAACTGTTCTAACCAATGCTTAGAACCAATGAATAATAGACCACATTGAGGATAATTTCAAGCAATGAGTCATGTTTGAGGTAATTAGGCAAAAGTAGTTTAATTTACGTTATTTCAAAACTATACAATTTCCCAATAAAAAGAAACAACTTGCTTGCAGAATCAACATGTTTTAATATTCCCCTGAAGCGTGTGCCAGGTCATATTGCTCTTAAAATTCAAGCTTAAAATCGGTAGGTCAGTGGTTAGCACTGCTGCCTCACAGCGCCAGGGACCCGGGTTCGATTCCACCCTCGGGTGACTGTCTGTGTGGAGTTTGCACATTCTCCCCGTGTCTGCGTGGGTTTCCTCTGGGTGCTCCGGTTTTCTCTAGTCCAAAGATGTGCAGGCTAGGTGGATTGGCCATGCTAAATTGCTTGGAGTGTTCAGGGATGTGTAGATTAGGTGGCTTCTAGGGGGGGATAGGTCTGGGTGGGATGCTGCGAAGGTCGGTGTGGCCTTGTTGGGCCAAAGGGCCTGTTTCCTTACTGTAGGGATTCTATGAAAATAAGTAACACTTGTACTCCTTTGCCAGTTGTCCTGAAATCTACACTTTGTGGTTTCCATGGCAATTAACACAATCTGTCCTTTTCCTTCACCTCTCAGCCTGCTTCTCGAAATGCAGTCGCAGGGTTGTCACCAGCAACACTGGCCTCACTTGGAGGATCCTCCTCTCGACGAGGGAGCGGGGATACCAGTAGTATACTAGATCCAGATGTTTCACTCAGTGAATTGCGGGTAAGGATTGTTAAATTATGTATATACATAGAGCTGATGAACTGTTCTAAGTTCATTTAAGTGCATATAACTATGTAGCAAATTCTTACAGCAATAATGTGTATGAAAATTATAACGCTATTTCAGCTTGATTTTTTTTTGTTCCCATCCCCCTCCCATTTATCCAATGGTTCATTCCATGTGTCCAACAGGATATCTATGAGCTTAAGGACCAGATACAAGATGTAGAGGGGAGATACATGCAGGGATTAAAAGAACTTAAGGTATCAGGGCCATGTCCCCCAGCATGTTTTATTTTCTATTTTCTATGGCTGTCACGGTGGGAATTTGAGCTGCACTCCTTTAACATGCTAGAGCAGAGTCCTTTTGTAGCATTTGACTAACTTGTTTTGGCTGATATGTACATCTTTTGGATTCTTATAATGGCATGTGCTCTGATCTGGATGTAACCCTTTCAGCAATTCATGTTTTCATGTGTATGTTGGAGTTTGATAAAAATAATTTTATTTCCTCAAAGCAGCTAGCCACAGTGATAGTGATCAGAACAAATAATTGTGGGTCACAAAGATGGAAAACTGTTAGTTTTCCACACCAAGGGCCTAATTTGGCTTGAATGACAACAATTCACTTTGTATGTAATATGTTATATGTTTGGAATGTGAGTGTAAAACCAATGGAGAATTTGCATGTTCAATCTTTGAAAGCATTTTGAGGTTCTGTTTTGAACCTGTCAGAGATGGTTGAAAATGAAGAGATATGGTGATCTAGATAGGTCAGGTCAAACTTTCTGTGGCAATTGAAGCCAACAGTGACCTTGGACGTTATTTTAAAAATGCCTTCCTTTAGAAATAAAAGTTATTGCTCTGGGAATCATGAATAATTCAAATCTGATGCCACAAGAGCATTTTTGGAAAGCTTTTACAGTTCAGGTAAAAATTGTTCAAAAAAGGTCAGCATATTTGAATTATCCAAAGATAAAATTTAAGCGAAAAAAAGCTAAACTGAGAATTTTTTCGGGATAAAAGCTAGAAGTGTGGAACCCTATGGAACTTTGAGAAGGAAAGAAGAGTGTCAAGATAATTAGTGTTTCAGATTGAAAAGTAATCTTGGTTTGTTTTTACATTTCAAAGAATTTCATAGTCAGTATCAGTTAATAGCCCATTGCTTTTCATCATAGAAATACAAGGGATTATGTTAATCACAATTGCTCGTATCCATGTCAGTATGTTGTGTATGAATGCCCTGAAGTTATGTATTGTGCTTCTGCATGGCAAGATCATTAGCAATAGCTTTTTTTAAACAAAGCCTTAACATTTTCTTTGCCTGTATAGAAGTAAAGTTGCCTAGTATTAAGGTTCCTTAGCAATATAACCAAATTAGTCAAACTGTTAGTTTTGCTTAAACTATCCCTATTAATAATCTTGTTCCCTGATTTTGCAAGCCTGAACCTTGTGTTTTGCTTGTCTTTATTTGTCACTGCTAGAGCAAAAGCAAGTTCTTTCGCCAGATTCCAGAAGATTGTGAATTTCAGTTAAATACTTGGGCAAGTGAAAGTACCCTCTGTTACTCAAAAGCTAGGGATCACCTGCATAAAGCATAGAAGTGAAGGAGTCAAAACTTCGAGTTTTTCACTTGATTGGTTAAGTTTGCTTTCAGCGATTCACTTTTATGGAAGTAAATGTTGACATTTCTCAAAACAGGAAGACTTCTGTATGCAGAATACTCACCAGGGATTCATCTAAAGAATTGTTCATTTGTCTCAAACTACTTTTTGATTAGCTGTTGAATAAATTTAACAGTTTTCACTAAAAATGTAGCAAAATTTAGTGATGTGAAATCTAACATTACTTTTAATATTTGGATCTGGAAACTGCTTCTTACCAATTTTGTTGCAGGATCGAATGATGTTTGTAGATTGAGGGATTAAGTTTGAAGGAAGGTTGCAAGCTTCATCTGGGGCAACATGTACGACAAAATCAAAGTGTAAACAAATCTAATTTCTAATCAACAGGTTTAATTTGAAGATTTTTTTTGAGTCAAATCATGCTTTGTTTTACAAGAGCCATGTCCAGTGTTTTGTAACCGAGACATGCAAGAATTTTAGTTAAACTTTGGAATACACACGGTAAAACCTTTGCATGATCTTCGTTTGTGCTATTGGCTGTTTGATTGTCCTCTTAGTTGTAAAAGTTTTAAACATGAAGCAGACAAATTCCTTACAGCACTATTTTGCCCCATGGTTCCACTTCTATTTATTTTTGGGGTTCTAATTTACATAAGAAATAGTGAACAGCTGTGAAACAATTGATATTTGCTTACTGCAGTGATAAATACATTTTAAACTGGCAACCTATTATTTGGATTTTTCCCCCTCATCTTGTTGCATTTGGATATCCTTAGTGTTTATAACTGTTCCCACCCTCATTGATTCAGTCATCAGACCGCTATTTACTTTTGATTTGCAGGATTCCTTATTAGAGGTCGAAGAAAAATATAAGAAAGCTATGGTCTCCAATGCACAACTAGACAATGAAAAATCTAACCTCATCTACCAAGTGGATACACTAAAAGATGTTATTGAGGAAATGGAAGAACAGATGGCTGAGCTATTTAGGGAGAATGAGGAAAAATCCAAGGTAATCTGTTATGAACAACTTAGGCAGTGCCTGGGAATTCCAGTTTGTTTGTTTTGTACATAAAATGATATGTTTTTGTTCCATCATGTAACAATTGTAATTTTAAAAAAATC